TTAAAAAAAAAAAAAAAAAAAAAAAAAAATATATATATATATATATATTATTTTTACACAGTAATTAATTAGCGGTAACTTTTAGAATAATTGTTGTGGGTTCAGTCTTTGGAATGGAAAGGTGGCAGTTCGTACACGGCTGGTGGTGTGGACCGGCTGGGATGGCTGAGCGTACGTAGCCGAGCCGGGTCCGGTTTAGGTTTTTCGTACAGACAGCCTTGGCTCCACTCCCTTTGGCCCACCCCTCCAATGTTGGAGTTTGTATATCTCACGACTATTTTTTAATATTTATTAACCAAATAAAAAATAAAGATTTCAAAATAATAATAAAAAAAAAATTAACGAACCTAATACGTTAGAAATCACAAACATTCACAATAATATGAGATTATCCACTTTAATATGCTTTAGACGACACACGTGCTATAATGGTTATAGACCAATAGGTCGTGATCTTACGAGAGTGAGCTAATTTCAAAAACCCGTCTTCAGTTTGGATTGTAAGTTGCAACTCGCATGATAAAATCAGAATCGCTACTAATCGTCGGTAAGTCATACGATGATGAATTTGTTTCCGAATTTTGTACACACCACACATCATCTCATTGACAAAAAAAATTAATTTTTTAGAATAAAAAGATGGAAATAGATACTAAAATTAAATATGAATCCAAAAAAAGGAAAAAAAAAAGTGTATTAAGAGTATGAAATAAATAAGATATATATATTTTGAAGGAATAGAGCATAAAAAAGGGGAAGATATTAAATAAAAATAAATTAAATTTGAAAAGGAATAAATTGAAAATTATTGTTGCCGGTATTTAAAACTACAAATGGCATTTAAAAAAGTCACAGCGGTGAAAGGGAATCGTGAATCTCGGATGCGATCACACGTGGCAAAGATATTTGTTCTACTCTTAGATATTTATTCATTCAACCCTCCCCACCTCAGCCCTAAGGTTCCCTAAAATCTTTTTTTTTTTCTTTTTTTAATTTCTTGAGTAATTTAAAAAAATTAAATTGGGTTGGACGGAATAAACTTAATTCATAGCTAATTTAAAAATATACATTTTTGTTTGATATGAAATTAAATATACATGTATTTATTTTAGACAAAATTTAAAAAATATATATTAAAATTGAGATTAATAAAAAATGAATCCATTTATTTTTCTTTGTGAAAAATGACGTGGAAAATAAAAGAGGAACATTTCCACTAAAAAAATAGAAAAAGAAAAAGTAGTGACAAATTGGAAAAGTGCAAGATAAGTGGGGCCCACGTTCTAGCGCGGCTTCGTCTATCCACCATGTGGCTCTAGCTAATTAACGCAAATTTTTTTATAAAAGGCAAAAAAGAAAAAAGAAAGTCGTCTCTTGGCTTTCACTATCTTCGATTTTCTGTGTTCATCCATGGTTGCTCTTTCCAATTCTCCCTCTTCCATTAATTTCAACCTCTCTCCTTCTCTCTTGAATCGGTACGTCCTCTCTGTTTCGTCTTTATAATCAATCTTCTCTCTCGATCTGTGGCTCAAATCTCCTCTCCTCTCTCTTTGGACCTCTGGACCGCTGTCGGCTGCGCTGTTGCTTCCTGGAGAATTTCTCTATCTGCATCTCTTTTTCCTTTTAGTTCGGTTCGCCTTTCCAAGTTGCGTATGTAATCTTCTCTTCACTTGCAATGATGAATGTAAATCTGCATAGTAACATGTATGTAGGTTTGTTGCTCGTTTTTTTTTTCTTTTCTGTGGTACTGGAAGTGCTGTAGGTTTCGTGGAGTATTTTGTTTGTAGTTTTCCAAGTATCGTTGGGTGATTGAATTGTTCTGAGATTCTTGAGTTTCGTATTGTTTTTTTTTTTTTTTTTTTTTTTTTTTTTTTTTTTTTTTTTTTTTTTTTTTTTTTTTTTTTTTTTTTTTTTT